TCGGGAGCGACTCTGAGCATCCAAAATGTAAACAGTCATGCAGATATTGACGGAGGTAACGGTGGAAAGTGAATGTGATGTGTTAGGAAAGAATCACCTGACCGACCTTCACTATGGAGAGGACCGCGACATAGGTGAAGACAATTTTGGCTCAGAATCACTCTTGCCAACACTCAAAATAAAAAATGCTCTTTACATTAACAGTTAAAAATCGCCAGACTAAACCCAAATTAATTCCAATGTGACTAAAACAACTGCTAAAACCCCGTCATACTTAGGTTAAGTTAGGTTAGGTTAGGTTAAGTTAAGTTAGGTTAGGTTAGGTAAAAGGTCCAGTGCCAATGAGCAGAACACCGAAACCGGGACTCGATCCAGCGACCTTGAGATCCATGGTTGCATCTCTTACCACTCATCCACAGTGTTTAGCCTCGGGCAATCCATCCCGTTTACAGTTCCCCTGGGAGTTTGGATAAGTTAGGTTACGTTATCGTTAGGTTAGGGTAGGATGGTCTATCTTAGGGTGTAGTAAGCTGAAGGGCTAACCTCTAGGAGTTTGGCTATGTTTGTGTCAGTGTGTGTTGCTGTGAGCCCTGTAGAATATTACCTCTTTTAAAACCCTTCTGTTTTATTTCAAGTTTGAGTTCGGAACACTTGTCTTTTTTTAAATAATACTTAGACTTACTTTAAAACACTTTGTCTGATTTAAAACTGCAAACACTTACCTAAATTAACATAATCTAACCTTACACTTAACTTACCTAACCTAAACTAACCTTACAATTACCTTACCTAACCTAAACTAACCTTACACTTACCTTACCTAACCTAAACTAACCTTAACTAACCTTACACTTACCTTACCTAACCTAAACTAACCTTACACTTACCTTACCTTACCTTACCTAACCTAACCTTACCTAACCTAGAAATTGTTAACATGTGTGTTCTGAACATATTTCGACAGCGTTGTGATGATGGTATGTAATTATTGTGTTTCTAAACGTATTGCATCAGTCATGTTAAGAAATGTGATGTACGTACAAAGTAAAATACATTAGTCACCCTTAATTTTGCTTCATCGAGAATCCTGAATACCGCGCCCATCATCCTGTTATGGGTAGGTGTTATTACATCACCTGAAATTCCCAGTGTTTTTTGAAGAAGATTGTCTGTCACTCGCGCAGGGTGGCGGAGCGCTGGGACACTCAATGATGTTGGGAAATTCATACATTCTCATTACCTTACACCCACAAGTTTCTCACAAATACCAGTGTAATGATAAGTAACATCTCTCACCCGCATATTGAATCAA